CATGAGGATCAGTGTAATTCCTCACCGATCAACTTTACCATACTGAAAGAGACACTTCCATCACGAGAAGATCGAAACTATAATCACATATTAATAGTTATTAATAATTTTGACTACATGTTTTTACAACAAGGAACTTTGATATGGATTTTACTTACATGACTTTCATAAATTAAGACATTTTATCTTTATTGTACCAGATTGTATATTCGTTTCAACTGAGCATTCTTCTGCTAATAATTGAATGACTCAGTACATGAATATTCTTTCCTTTGGTATGATATCGACAGTATGCGAAATAAAAAATGATTATAATCAGAGAAGGGTTTTGTGGATATTGTATTAATTTATTAGTTGAATTCAGGAATCAACTAAAGCTAGATCACCATGGAAAACCTGGAAGAAATGGACGATCGTTTCGTTCTAGTGTGGGACTCTGTGAGACGCACTAATGTATGATCATCATCATCCTTTATCAGTGTTCAATAAGACTGTAACATATTGATCATTTTCAATCATTTTTCTGTTCTTTCAGTGTACCTGTTCTGTATATAAGGGTGTATAGTTCACTGGGGACTTGATTTTAAATATCTAAAACTGTCTACATATGTCTTCGATTAACATGACATTAGCGCATCCCAAATTATCCAACAAAAAAACAAAGAGATTGGTAGTTAGAGCTAGAAAGGTAATTCTCGGTGAAATTTATACTGATCTATGTAGCATTCATTTACTAAATAAACGGGAAAAAAACACTAAATATTGCCCACATATCAAATATTTAAAAACAGATGCGTTACAAATTCATGGACACATATCCTACACCGTTTTAATGAATCACTCCTGTTCGAATCATTAGACTGACTTCAACTGATTGATTGCAGTCAACTAAGTATAAACTACCAACCCTAATCACTACTTTCTATAACACCAGTAATGCTTTATGATTATACATATGTAATCGATTGCTGGATTACAAAGGCTGAATGTAACTGATTGTGATGACATCTCCCGAGTTCTGTATTATTAAATCATGGATTTCCTCAAATTAACCTCTATCAGAAGACACGATGACTGTTCAATCAAAACACTAATTGATGTCTACACCTGATTGTCAATTCTAAGTAGCTAATATCAGACTGTTCATTTTAAGGTATAGATCAAATTCTATTGACTGAATATGACGTATGATTACCACAATAAATGGCTAATGGTAATCTATAGGAATATGATAAATAAAGTTTTCATTCTGTTTATCACTCACTAATATGTTGTGCCTACAATTATCAATGAACAGAATATTCTTCGAAAGATGGAAACATTCAACAAAGTTTCACAACTTTCTTTCAATGTTATTCAATCATCTTAAGTTCAAAAAGATCTTTTTTTATGAAAATTGAGAGTAACACGAACGAGAACAAAGAAAAAAAAGAGGGAAAAAATGACCAGTCAATGAATCTCAGTTGTTGTTTAGTTAATAACAATTCTACACGCAATGTTTTATTGAACACCTATTCATTACTTACGAATTCTCTAAAATACAATCTCATATTAGGTCCTAAGACGACCAGTGTAGCAGCAACCTCAGCAGCAGTAGGTCTCAATATACACAAAGGGAAAAGTAAGATTCTCCGATACAGCACGGAATGCACAAATCCAATCAAAAGTGACGAAGATTTGGAAAATGTAAAAACCTTTACATATTTGGACAGCATCATTGATAAATATGGTGGATCTAATGCAGATGTGAAAGCGTGGATCGGTAAAGCAAGAGTAGTATATTTACAACTGAAGAACATCTGGAACTCAAAACAACTGCCAACCAACACCAAGGTCAGAATTTCCAACGCAAATATCAAGACAGTTCTACTGTATGAGGTGGAAACTTGGAAAATTACAAAAGTCACCATCCAGAAGATACAAGTGTTTATTAACAGTTGTCTACGCTAAATACTTCAGATCCGTTGACCAGACACTATTAGCAACAACCTACTATGGGAGAAAACAAACCAGATCTGAGTGGAGTCAGAAATCAAGAAGAAGCACTGGAAGAGGATAGAACAAACATTGAGGAGAGCAGAAAACTGCGTCACAAGGCAACCGCTCACATGGAATCCTCAAAGCCAAAGGAAGAGAGGAAGACTAAAGAACACATTACGCCGGGAAATGGAGATAGACATGAGAAAAATGAACAAGAATTGGATGGAATTAGAAAAGAAAGCCCAGGACAGAGTGTGTTGGAGAATGCTGGTCGGCGGCCTATGATCCATTAGGAGTAACAGGCGGTGCGATGCAATATTAGGTCCTGAATGGATACTACTGAAAAGTCCTATAGCGATATGGAACAACTATCTACTATTGCTTGGATATCACTGACGCTTTATCTGACGTTTTTGTGTAACGAATGGCAATTGTAAAGTCATTTAATCTACACAAAACCTTTTTCAATAGTAATAAACTAATATAAGTAATCAATCAAAACCTTTTATAATTTAAGGCATAAACCTTTCTAGTAACTATTAGTCACTTAAAGGTTTGAATTATGTTTTTCTGGTTAGCGTTTTTTTAGCGAGTTAGTTTTCTACGGGATGGGGTCGTTAACCCTATGCCCAACCCCCCTCCTTTATCCGGGCTCGGGACCGACAGTAGCCCCCGGAGGGACTCCAGCCGGAGTTAAGCATTAATTATCATAGTAAATATTTTAATACTGTCCAATCTACAACATCAAGTATTTATTCTGTTTAGTTGTTAAATATAGTTAAGACATTAAATAACTCAGTATAGTTTCCACCTTCTGGTCAAAAGTAGTTTACTCAAAGTCTTGTCATTGAATTTCATAATATGTATATCAATGACAAGGTATAGTACTTACAAATAATTGACAAATTAAGTAGATTAATTAGGATATTCGTTCTTTTTAATTATACAAGTTAGTATTAAAACTGACTATTCTATTGTGTCTTACAAGTTACCCAAAAATTATGAGACCATAGTATATGGACGAACTTTGAGAGACTCCATGATAATGTTGAGTGTTCAACTACTAAGCTGGGACTAAATGAACGTTATAAACCAGTGCTAAGAATTAAGATTAAGATTTAAAGTTGATGGTTGTACTTAGGGATTAGATTTCGGATTCTTCATCATGATCTAACATCAACTATGATGTCTAAACTCTGTTTAATCAAATGGATGAATGAATTTTGCGCCAAAATTTGACACCTGGTATCTTATATCTGATTGGTTTGTCTATAAATTATAATCTCGCCAAAATTCAGTAATTTCGTTTTCAAATACATTTGATTGTCCCCACTTTTGTTCTCGTTCACTTCAGCACCGTAAGTAAGGTTGTAGTGAACAAGAACACAAGTGGGGACAATTGAATGTACCTGGACACCAAAATTACAGAATCTATTAGTAAAAGCTGTGAATCATACAGTAAGTACTTCATTTGTAAAATGTCAATCAATCGTCTCAAACTTCATTGTTCATTCATTTCTAAACCAATTGCTTTCTGTTCTCATTCTTTCCTTCTCGATCTTCTGCTGCCAGTCATTCTGTTCCTAACTGGCGTTATATACTACCTATGCCGATATAAGTAGTACAAACCACAAGGTTAATTACTAATGAATATCACTTTTATGCTAAACTGATCTCCACAATAATAATAATAATCCCTATATATATTTAGTTATTTTAAACTGATGTATCACAATTGATCGATCACTAGGTGATGATCAATATCATGTGTGTCAAGTCCCTCCTAGTGCAGATCGAATGCTATCGATCAAGTTGCATTGTGGACACTAGTCTAAGTGACTCGACATTGCGTGCACTATGTTGAAATTAGATGGTGGTTGTAGATAGGGTCCAGGGTTTCCTGTTGAATACCTCCAACCACCATCTAAACTGGTGTATCGTTTACACATTTAATAATCAACATGATTTGATTATTCCCAATATACACAAATTTTACTGGTGAGACTATCATTTATGGACGAACTTTGAGAGAATCCATGATAAACTTGAGAGTATCTACCTACTAAACCAGGACCAAATGCAGGTTATAGACCAGTGTTAAGAATTAAGATTAAGATTTTAAGTTGATTGTTATACTTAAGGATTGGATTTCGGGTTCTTCATCATGATCTAACATCAACTATGATGTCTAAACTTTATTTAACCAAATGGATGAATAAATTTCGCGCCAAAATCCTAGACTTGTTATCTTACATCTGATTGGTTCGTCTATAAATTATGGTCTTGTCTTAGTTATTTCTTAATTAAAATCCGTGGAAATTATAGAATGAAGAATACCATCGCAACAAAACATATTTGTTTTGTTTTGTTGGGTTTTTTTTCCTTGAAAAAAATTCTATATAAATAATCTTTAAATATTGTGCCAGCATAGAATAATTTTCAAATGACATTGAATATCGAACAAACAGTTTATATTTATTATCTAAAAATAGGATTATTTGAATTGACCAATCAAATAACAGGTTGTTAAAAGTTCAAATACACACTCACACACACGCACATGCGCGCACTCCATATATAGATATATAAATACACAATCACGTTATATCCGTATTATATCCCTTCATAATATGATTAGGGGATAATTATGGGACTATTTATGAATCATATTTATTTAATATTCAATCAAATGGATCATTATTCATTGAATGAATAGGAAGTAATAATAATAATAAAAACAATAGAGGATTAAATGAATGAAGAACTAACCGCCTTACCCGTCATTCTATGATTATTACAATATGACATTACATACATGTTGGTAATATACAATCAATACAAATAGATCGAAGTGATTGTGACACATTCACACACACACATATACACACACACAAGTAATGATACCTCAAATATATACCAGGTATTACATCATCCATTAAAATTTATTATTATTATCTTGATTATCCATTTGTCAACTTAAAGATTTGAAATAAAATAATTTTTTTTATTAAAAACAACTAAGAAAACATATGCTATTGATAGTTATTACATACTATTCCTTTTTAGCTTAGTTACAATTGAAAGAAGAGAGAAAAAACATCATAGACACCAACCACCACCACCATAACAACAACAACAACAACACACTCACACAATTTCTTTACTCTCAGACAAAAAAAAATCAATAATCAATAAACGTCAGAACAAATTACACAAAAGAGGAAATAAACATTTAAAATTATTATAAAAAAAAAGAATATTATATCATGTTGTGGAATATATGAGTGCCATCTTGAAGTTTGTTTATTTTGAATCTATCCTGGCAACAAAAAACAAACAGACAAACAAACAAACGAAGAAACAGAGACGAAGGTAATAGTGAAACTGTAAAAACAAACAAACAAAAAAGATTTTTCTTCAACTTGTTTTGATATCAGCTTGTAGAAAAAACAAACAAAACAAAAGAAATCAACAAATTGGATAGTTCAACTTATTGAGAAAGAGAATCAATGTGGTAACAACAGTTAAGTAAGTGTTCTGTTTTTCTTCTCATACAATTTGAGTTAATCTATTTTAAAAGTGTTAATAATTAATTTAGATAATAACACTGTTGGATGCTGGCTCAGTGGTCTAGCGGATAAGCGTTCGTGTGCGAGACCGATAGGTTCTGGGTTCGAATCCCACGAGGTGGGATCACGTGTGCGCACTGCTGGGGGAGTCCCATAATAGAATGAAACGGTCATTCAGTGCTTCAAACTTCATGATCTTAACTATTAAAATTACTATAATGTCCACAAAAAACTTCCTTGTGATGTAATTTGTTGTTAGATCTTAGTAACTACAATCTTTATTGTTATTTATGAATGAAACAAGTTAGTTTTTTAATGAAATGGAATGGTTTAGTTAGTTTGAACACCTACACAAACACAATTTCTACTTTGATAGTACCTCATACTTTGGTTGAACTAGATTTATGCTTGAATGAATCTTTCATTAGTTGAATTTAACTGTTTTAAAAAAACGTGTGAAAACTTAAAATTTCCAAGTTTATTCCTAAAAATATATTAGTTTGTACTTGTTACATCATGAATGATCTTTGAAAAGATTAATTCAGATGTTTTCCAGAATGTTCTAAGATGTGTTGTACAGTCTTCAAAACATCTATAGTACCTTGTTACGTCAATGGGGGTAGTCCACGTAAGGTGCTGACCACGAGGTGTGACTTCGACGTTAGTTGGTTCGTCACACTATTCACGTCTAACTCGAGTAGGCCTCCAATCATTTCGACATAGATCATCTACGTTGGTGATCTACAACTCCATAATAATAATAGTTCAATGGAAATGTGAATAGTACCAGCAGACATATGAAAAATGACACATTTTAAAATATGAAATTATTATCCTTCTATCGAGGTTAGATCTATATGTAACGGACAGTCGTTTTGTTATAACATGGGACTCCACGATCCCACATATGGAATTTAAACTCAACACCGTTTGGTCCGTGCATGAACTCTTAATTTCTAGACTATTGCCTCGGTATTCAACAATGTTAATGTCTAACTTCAATCGATCGACTCGTGAATTCAACTATTAAAATATTACAAAATCCACAAATCCTCACACTGATACTTCTATTTCCAGTGGTTAATTTACTGTTTCACTTACGATATCAATTAGCTAATATGGAGACATGTTTTTGTGTTGATATCACAATATCATAATGTAATAATATATTTGTCTTTTATCATAAGTAAAAGTAGTTTACATTTTGTTTCTATGTAGATTTAACTAATAGAATCCCTCCCCCTTCGAACCTCTAAAATGTATTTTCTAAATATAAGTATCAGAATAAGATCGTCTCAATCTGTAGTTTTTAAGACAAACTTCTATTCTAATAAAGTTTTCAACTTGTTCAACTAAACAACTGAGCATCATTTTGATTCTTTCCTTGACTATCTTATTTCAGTGATTTTCATAGTATCTAATTTCATTTACAAGATATATGCTATTATCAGAAGGAGTTTTTGTGAATATTATAGTAATTTTTAATAGTTGAGATCATCAGTCAATTGAAGCTAGATCATCGTGGAAACGTTTGGAAGCACTTGGCTATCATATTGTGGTATGTGCTACTTATATTGACATAATTAGTATAAGATGTTAGTCAGGAATAGAATATCTGGCAGCAGAAAGATAAGAGGATCGAACAGTAAAGAATGGGAACAGAATGCAATTTGTATGAAAATGCAAGAATAATGAAGTCTGAGTCAGTTTGAGACAATTAATAGATATTTCGCAAATTACGTATTTCACTGGTTGGAACCATGAGTTAATTGAAGCTAGATCACCATGGAAAACCTGGTAGCACTGGACGGCCGTTTCGTCTTAGTACGGGACTCCTCAACAGTGCGCATCCATAATCCCCCACCCCGCGAGACTCGAACCCAGGACCTATCAGTCTTGCGCCAGGCGCTTAACCAACTAGACCACTGAGCCGGCCGGCATCCAACGGTGTTAATGTCTAACTTCAAACAATCCACGAATTTGAGCCACCGTACACCATTGTCTTCAATGAGTTCCTATCTCACAACAAACCTGATTGAACTCCTCTGGTAACGACTTCTCACTAGAACTGCATAATTATCTCTTGAAGTCAGACTCTAGTGAGCAGGTGATTCTGATAATTACATATTTACTATTTGATTGTTAGATTTTATTAACAAGTCCTGTAGTTTTGTGTCAAATACATTCGATTGTCCCCATCCGTGTTCTGTTCACTATATTATTACCTAGTCTTTCATGTCTTAATGGAATTCTATCGATTATGTGTTTGAATTATAGTTACTAATGTAGGAAAATTGTTATCTACCCTGGAAACAAGAACAATATCTATCAACAGTATCAAAGATACTAATAATCAATGTAAAGTCAGAATCCAAATCAATCCAATGACCTATTTATGTTTCATCATAGAATCATACCATTGAACTAAGCTATACAGAAATAGTTATTCATAGTTTAACTAAATAAAAAATAATCACATAAATATTTAATACTTCAATTCAAATAGTAACTTTGTTTGAAAAGATATTACCCTAATTTACTTGACCAACAATTCGACATATTTAGTTGACAATACAACGACTCAGTGTTCATCAATTCAGTATATCTAGTTACCTAACCATAACGTATATACAAACTAACACACACACACACACGCACACACAGAGACAAACACCTCATAGATTGAATGTTGCCAAAACCAATATCATTAATGTATACAGTTACATTCTTTATTAATAAGAAAAATAGACTTAACTCATTACTAATACTCCTCCTCCTCCTCCTCCACCTCCTCCTCCTCCTCCTCCTCCTCCTACTACTACTACTACTACTACTACTACTACTACTACTACTACTACTACTACTACTACTACTACTACTACTACTACTACTACTACTACTACTACTACTACTACTACTACTACTACTACTACTACTACTACTACTACTACTACTACTACTACTACTACTACTACTACTACTACTACTACTACTACTACTACTACTACTACTACTACTACTACTACTACTACTACTACTACTACTACTACTACTACTACTACTACTACTACTACTACTACTACTACTACTACTACTACTACTACTACTACTACTACTACTACTACTACTACTACTACTACTACTACTACTACTGTTATTATTACAATTACAGAGGAGAAAGTCAGTTTATCTAGTGACAAAGAGATGTAATTTACGACAGACGAACAATTTTGACCTTATTTGTTCAACGTAATAACCAATACAGTGTGTATGTGTATGCGTGTGTGTGCATACGTAATTGTTTTCAACTAATTACAGTTTATCTGTTTCATCATAGTGACAAGATAAACTTTCAAAGACATAGTTTAATAGAAAAACATGGGAGTTTAATATTAATACAAGGAATATATACAAATACAAATTTTTCATTTACTGGTTTTTATAAATAATAATAAACATTAAAAAAAAACATATTTCAAACTTGTTTGGGTTCGAATCCCGCGAGGTAGGGTTGCGGATGCGGACTGTTGAGGAGTCCCACAATAGAAAGAAACGGCCGTTCAGTGCTTCCAGGTTTTCCATGGTGGTCTAGCTTCAATTAACTCATGATCTCAACTGTTGAAGTCTTTTTTCATTAATCAGATATCTTTTAGTTTTGTTGCTCTAGTAACAAGATGAAGTTTTTTGTATTAATAGTTTGAATCTTCTTATCAATGTTTTTATGATTGTAATCGATCAGTTTCTTTTCCACTATTAAACACTATCTATCTCTGCTTATGACTTAAGACAATATGGAGGCGATCCGTACACGTGAATAACATGATGGCGTTTGGAGTTAATGATGCTGGATTTGACATCCACAGTAAACACCACTACCTCTGGTATGTAAGTACATTTAGCTGATGAGTTCCATGTAGGACGAAACGTGTGGTCGTCATCCATCTCTCCCTATAATAAAATCAAGTGTTTCCATCAAAAGCTGATGACAAATAAACGCCTCTACTGTTAAGTAAATGACTAAACCAGATAGATCAACTGATAATAATTAGTGTCAAGCTGAATAGAACGTCTTATCACTGACTGATATACTACTAAAAGAGTACAATAATGTATAGCTGTTTTAACTTTATATGATAAATTACACTCATAACTCCATTTTAGACCCAAATCTGTTTAAAGCCAAATAAAGCCTATTTATTCATGATTCCAGACTAGTCACCAGTGTACATTTACAATTTCATAGGTGGCATACAGAATACAACTTTAATTCTTACACTAAAGATCATTATTGTTTCCAAAAATCAATAATTAACTATCACGTAACACCGTTGGATGCTGGCTCAGTGGTCCAATGGTTAAGCGCTCGCGCACGAGACTGATAGGTCCTTGGTTAGGATCTTGCGGGAAGCTGGATCGCGGATGCGCACTGCTGAGGAGTCCCATACCAGGACGAAACAGCCGTCTAGTGCTTCCAATTTTTCTATGGTGATCTAGTTTCAATTGATTCATGATTTCAACCATTGAAATTTCTAAAAAAAAATTGGATATTTGTATTTTTAACAAAAGTTAGTACTTTGAAACTAAACGTTATCTAAGTGTAAGAAAAAGAGACTAAACATGAGGGGGGGGAACACACAGAAAATTCCCATTCAGTAGAATGAAGATCTGCTTAAAATTTTTATGTATATTCGTAATAAATAATTTGATTAATATTGATTATTTAGATAAGTGAAAATTCTGAAACATTGGACATATGTTTCTCCGATTGTGAGACTCATCAACAACATGAGTCCATATTCTTAGTTGAATATTTGGTATTTATGTATGTTACGTAGTACAGTATTACTAAACTATCAGTATCGGGATTTGTGGAGATCATAGTATTTCAATAGTTGGATTCACTAGTCAATCTAAGTTAGACCACCATTGAAAACTCAGAAGCACTGGACAGTTGCTACT